ACAAAAAGAACTAGAGGTAAGTAAATAAAAAACCATAAATTGAGAAAATGTTAACATAATAACACTTCACATAAAGCTGTTATGCCGTAAGTACCGTGATAAAATATTTGAGAGAGAACTGATACATCGGATCAATTTCAGCCATCGTAGCTACCACAAAGTAGAGAACGGAACCGCGTGTCGCAACTGGCAGATACTTTGATCGGGCAATACTAATCTTCTCTTCAGTCGCTTCGGCCTCGGACAGGCGTTTGGCAATCTCAGATGAGGTCGTCTTCGAGGTGTTCAGAGTATTTATAAGATCTTCATTGTCTAGGATATTGCCTTCCGACTCGAAAAGCAGCTTAAGAATGCGATCCTCCGTTTCCTGTTACCAGCACAACAAGTAAAAGAGCATTTGTTTATGTAATCATATCTGAGCGAAATAAACTGCTATACAGTAAAGACAAGCCAATGCTCGTATGTGGCCGTCATAAAACTAAGCCTTATGTAATAGTAAAACGATAATTTTTCGTTCAAAACCAGCTAAGTTATGAAAGAGGTGTTTGAGAATAAAGTCGGCATTATACTCCATTTGGAAGCCATGATATTGGTAACTAAACAAAATCCCAAAATGTTCATTTATTTGAAAATCATTTATGGGCAACTTAAAAATGCATATTATTGACAAATGAACTGTAACTATGCTGTAATTAATCTCCTGTAATAATATTATGGTGACTTTAATTACATGGGACAGGTGATTAACCTAATTCTGCTCAGTGATTGTTATATTTTCATGTTCGTTCTATACGTCTGGTAGACCCAGTAGGCACTCTTACCTCTATTTGAATTAATAGGCCTTAATGACATTGGATTCAAGCTGATTTATATTGAAATTACTCAGAGTTATAACTACAGGGATTCTATACTGGCCTACACATTTATAAACTCACCCATACACTTAAACATAAAAGTAAATAGATTGATATAATATATTTTGAATCCTTATTAATTTCTTCTCGAACCATACATAACGAGTCGAATTAGGAGTTAAGACGTCTATGATAATAAGGATTCTGCGTCTAGCAGATGCAAACCATAGAGAC